AGATTTCTGTTGCCTTTGACCTGCTGGCCACTGTCACTTTCTCTACAAGTTGATACATGAGCCAGAACAATGCTAATAAATCCAGTAATAGTAGCAGGAAGACTGAATCGAACACTTATAATGTTCTGGGCTCTGTACCTTCATTATTTCAGTCATTCAATGAACATGTGTAAGTTTTCACACAAAAAATCTGGGTGAACGTGGATAAGGTAACTTGATCAAGAACCCGGCCAGCAAAGGTTGAAATCAGAATTTAAACCCAGGCAATCTGACACTAGGATCCAATCTGACTCTATGATCTAAGCTGTTAACCACCTAAGACTGTGGGCTTGATGCTCTGGTAACCATTTACCTTGCTCAGTAACATGGTCATAGACTAATTTTGCCAACTTCATAAAGGATTTATTCTAGTATTCCTACCATTCATAAGGTTGGAGTTAGCTATTAGCTGTATAAAATTAATCAGGCTTAGCTTACTGCTTACTAGGGCTGCTTCTGCATCTCTGAACTTTCCAAACTCCTCCCAAGAACCAGCTCCAAAAGCTTCTTAACCACGTGGTCAGGCAGTGTCGCAGCAAGGACCCGATCCCAGTTTGGCACGCTTATCCATTTGTTCTTATCACTTTCTGAAGCTGTTCTGGAAATCCTCTTGTGTGACAGTCTTTAGTTGCATTATCATGGTTGCCTCAATGTCCTGAATGGATTCAAAATGTTTACCTTTCACAGTCATTTTTACTTTAGAGAAGAGTGCGGAGTTACATGGTTCCAGGTTTGGTGAACAAGGTGGAGGAGGACACACTGATGTTTCTATGAGTCTTTCTGTTGGATGGTACTTGGCAGCAGCATTCACTGTATTTTTTATTACCTCATAAAAACACTCAGAAAGTGGCAAGAGCAATGGGGTAAGTCTGAAGTGGGGAGGGGGCATTTTGAGAGGGTTTAATGGCACTGTGTCTTTGACTGTAATACATTTAAAAAATTTAAACATTTATCATATATTTTGATCACCATACTTGATCATCATATTTGTTCATACATAAGGAAAACTCATAGCATACATAGGTTTTTATTCTACCCACATTTCAGGCATCTGAAGAATGTATCCTGCAGATAAGGGGGGCTACTGTGATCATGACTGGGTTTGGCTAATCTTAGTTCATCTGCTAGGACAGAGGGAGGAGTGCACCACTCCCGGGCTTATTGCATCCTTTACCTGAACAGTATGCGGTTTCTAAAAGCAAGGAATAAAAGGGGACAACTACTGGGAAAGCATTCAATAGTATCTGCCCTACCAACCCTCCTCTCTATGCTTAAAAATGTCCTGGCAACATTGTACCTGCAGTGATTTCTATCAAATGTTTGGGAGGCTCAGAGTCTTTTTATATTGCACATCTTAATTCAAACACTTTCTCACTGCATGGTTATTCTTAGGCCAGACATACTTTCAATTAAGCTTGAATCTGTGAAGGCAGGCTATTTTGCTGTACTCTATGTTTTCCACATGCTAGCATACCCACCCTGGAATTTAATGGATAGTAAAGTTATGCAAGGAATCCCTGTGTACAACAAGATCTGGGACACTGTCTGCTAAGCTCACTTCTTATACAAACATGTACACACAGCAGCCAATCTACAAGTAGAACTTGCTTTTGAATAACTACATCTATTAGCCACACTGTGGAGCAAATATGCTTTCATTCTCTTGATTAAAATAACAGGAAGTATCATCATTCTTGAAGTCTTGGTATTTATAACAAATATAACCACAAAAATATAACTAGGGAGATTCTTCTGCGGTCTATTGGCAAGGCATCTGATACCATCCCTGGCTCGGAATGGAGAGTCCCCATTGAAATGATCTTTCGTCTGAAGCCGTGCTCAGCCTACTGTTAGGACCCAATCCGAGAGGGCTAAAAACATCTACAGGAGTCCTCTATAATCTTGCCTGAAAGGGGCCTCTGCCTCTTCAGCCAGTCTGGTAGGTCATGGAAATTCTACTCTTGCAAAGGGAGCTCTGTGTACAAGAGAAGTATTTCTTCAGGATTTACTTTCACCAGGGAAATAGCTATGACAGATTTTTTTCTTTTCCTCAAGACACAAAGTGACATTTTAAAGGAGAAACCACTCTTTTGGTGCCACAGAGCCATTTAAAAATAATATTAGAATAAAAGCTCCAAGGAATGTCTGCTTAAGCACAGCTGTCCAAAGCCTCAAATTTCAAGGCAAATTCAGTCACTTTCTGCAGGCAGGGAGGCAAGACTGCTGGAATTAGCCTCTTCTATTGACTGGACCTCTCATACTCAGCCTCAGATTCAAAAGTAGTGACATCCAGGGGCCAGGGATTTAGCTCAGTGGTTTCAGCACCTGCTGCACAATCGCAAGGACCTGAGTTTGATCCCCAGTACCAAAAAAAAAAAAAAAAAAGTAGTGATATCCTTTTGGTTCACAGCCCCCTTTTGCCTCTTCTGCTGTCAAGTGCATACTATGTTGTAACCTTGCTCCTTTTTTTTTTTCCATGTTTATGTTTTATTTTCCCAATCAGGTCATGAGCCACTCAAGGTCAAGGGCTAGGTCTTGCATTCTTTTACTTCTGGCAGAATTGGGCTTGTTGTGGTCAGCTTGCCGGAAATGGCTGTTGAATGGATGAATAAATGAAAGAATGATGAAAACTGGAGAACAGTGGTAGGTGAGTTGCTAGGCAGCCTGGTAAAGAGGATTACAAGAGTCAGGTCAGATTAGCAGGAGTGGTGTAGGAGAGGAAAGAATGCTGGGTTTTGAGCCAGCAGACATGGGTCCTAGTCCTAGGCTGGCTTTTTTGCCTTCACTTTATTCAACAGACATTTCTTAAACTTCTTCTGAGCTGAGTAGGCATTGTAGTGTAGCAGGCACTGAATATGACAACATTCCTATCCTCTGCTGGCACTGGTGGTGGTGAGGAAGATATGTGGAGGTCAAGGATTACAAGAAATGTGTTATAAGAGATGTGCTTGCATGGCAAGAACCTGCACAGGGAAGCAAGAAGGGGCTTCTGTATCAGACTATGGTTTCTAGGAAAGTTTCCTGAAGGAAGAAGTGTGATTCAAGTTGCAGGATGAATGGATTGTGATTCACTGGTAATCTCCATGTAGGTAAAGGGGCTACTATACACTGATGTTCTACATCATAAAACAGGACGTTGCAAGTGAAAGCTAACATCTCAGCTGAAGGGTGGCTAGGGCAAGAGATTAAGTTAGAGAGGTAGATAGTGCCAGCTAGCAGAGGGGCTTATGGCAATGTAATTTAGTGGTTAAGGGTAGAGGGTTAGAGATTAGACTGAGCTGAGTTCAAATCTCAGCTCTGGTACCCACCAGCCTAGTGACAACAACTGACTTTTAATCTCTCTAAGCCTGAGTGACTTTAAAACAGTCTTTCCCTGTTTCAATTACCTATTGCTGCACAACATAATACCCCTAAATATGATGACTTAAAACAACATACATGTATGAATTCTCAGTCAGCTGGTTTCAGAGTCTCACAAGGCTGCAATCAGTCAGCTAGGGGGAGGTCAAGACCCCTCTGGAGAAGGATCTGCCTCGCTTATACTGCTGTTGACAGAGTTCAGTTCTCTGCTGGCTGCTGGCCAGCAGCTGCCCTCAGTTCTCCGTTGTGTGCACCTTCCTAACACAACAGCTGGCTTCATCAGTCAGTGAGGGCCTGCTAGCAAGACAGAGGCGCCATCTTACATGGCTTGATCACTGGAGTGACTCTGGATCACTAGTGCCACGTTCTTACCCTGGGACGGCAGGAGGTCAGCCCGAACTCCCAGGGCAACGCTGACACAGGGAGTGAAGGCCCTGAGAACTGGTGAGACAGACCATCGTGCAGTCCACCTGCACCCCTAATGTACAGCTTAGTGGCACCAATCAATGTTCGCCATTATGACTATGCTGAACTGAGATTTGGCAAAACTTCAGGGGCCAGTGGTGTATGAGAAAGAGTAACGTAAGGGGACCTTGGGCAAGTCAAATCACCCTGCCGTTGAGCCTTCATTTCCTCCTCGGTAGGATGAAAATATCAGACCAGAGGGAAGAAATGGGAAAATACATGTGCAAGGACAAATACATTTTTGAAAAAGCTAAGTTACAATTCTCTGTAGTCCGAGAAAGCAAACTGCTTTGGGCCAATTTTCCATTTTGTGTTGACTGAGTCTGAAGATGTCTTCAAGGTTCTTAGTGTTTTGTCCCTCTGGGTCCACCAGGGTGTGTATAGCTGGAGTAAACACCTACACAGAGAAATTTGTCTTTCCAGTCTGGAGTCCCTTAAGGCGTTTCCCAGAGTTTGCCTTTCCTTTCAAAATACCTTTGCTTGTAAGGATCCCATGGTGGGGGGCGGGGTGGTGTTCTGAGAGAGAAAACAGACTATCTGGGAAATTTCAAGCTCTTGATAATAAAAATGGTAATAAAATCTCTTCCGGCTCCCGAGGCTTCGCTAGGGGGATATTTATGGTGGATGGGAGTCCTGGGTCCCCGGGCCCGCGCCGCTGCTTTCCAGTCCTGCTGGGCAGCTCGGGTTACCCGCTCAGCGGCCGCCTCCGAGGGCAGCTCCGAGGGCTGCAGGCGGCGGGCGAAGGGCCAGACAAACCCCCCCCCCCCCGCCCCGGTGCCGCGCCTTGTCCGCACGGGAAGCCTCACCCCACCCCAAAAGGAGCGCACCGCACCCCGTCGGGCTCACGGTCCTCCCAGGAGCAGTCTCCCCGCCTCCGAAGGTGTGGATCCCACTGGCGGGCGCTACATTCCAGAGTGGCGGAGTGCCCCAGGCGGACCCTGCGGAGGGGACGGAGCTTAAGTCAGCCCCGCGGGGTGGACAAGGCTGCTTTTTCCTAGGGCCTGGCCTCCAGGGCGAGGGGCGTCCGGGACCCCAGGGCAGGACGCAAACCTCGCGCTGCGACCCCAACACCGACCCCGCGCTCTGCCAGCCCGGCGCTCACGTCTCGCCTCGGGTCCTCGCGGGCCATTCGGTCCCAGAGGCGGGGACCGCGGGACTCCCGACAGGGGACCCCCGGGAGCTCTCAGTGAGCCCCCGACGAGCACAGAGCGCAGCCCAGCCGCTCCCGCGACCGCTGCCTTAGAAGACGTAACGAGAACCAGATGTGGCAGGCGCGGCGCAACTTTCTCAGAGCTCATGATTGGTTCCTGGCGAGGGCCACAGCCAATCGGCGCGCGGGGCGGGCCCGCGGGGACCCAGGTTCGAAGCCGGCAGGCCGTTCCCGGCCGGCAGGGACGCGCGGTGGTGGGCAGCGCTCGGGCGGAGCGAGCATGCCGGGGAGCCGGGCGGCCTGGCCGCCGTCGCCATCGCCGCCACTGCTGCTACTCCTGCTGCTGTCGCCGACCGCGGCGCTGCACCTGGACGAGCTCTTCCCCTACGGGGAGTCGCGGGGAGACCAGCTCCTGCCGGAAGGCGACGACGAGAGCTCGGACCCCCTGCAGCTAGCGCAGCCGCTGCGCTTCTTGGATGCCCAGTTCGGCAGCCTCTACGTAAGTTCAGCTCCCCGGGCGCGCAGCCCGGCGGCTGTGCGCGGATGCTGCCCGGGGATCAGGATAGGGACAGACGCCGAAACCTGCCGTCTGACGGGGAAGGAGCCCCCGAGCCCAGTGTCTTTCCAGGGGACGTGGTTTTGCAGCCGTGCGGCGGCTGGAGCCCCCTGTCGGGGAGGAAGCATCGCGCCGCTCGGGGACGTAAGACCCGTTCCCGGCCACGTCCCCGCCCGAGGCGGGAAGAAAGGCGAGGCTCGGAGATGGGGCCGTGAGAAGGCTGCGCGCGTCTGCAAAGCCGGGCTCGGTGTACCCGGGCTCCAGGGTCGTCCGGGGAGTGAGGAGGGGCGAGTTCCGGGGCACCTAGATCTGTGGGGTCCGGGGGTGCGGGAGGTCGCCACAGCGGCGCTGGTCGCCCTCTCCCGGATTCCCAGCTGGCGAGGAAGGAGCGGGCTCTCGCCTGTAGCTGCTCCCTTCCCTCCCCGCCCGGCCAGAGGAGCGCGCACGGCGGAGCCGCGGGGGCCGCGCCCCGGGACTGAGTGACCACCCGCACCTTTCTGTCCCTCTCGCCTCCCAGGTGGGCACCAACGGCATCATCTCCACCCAAGACTTCCCCAGGGAGACCCAGTACGTGGACGATGATTTCCCCACCGACTTCCCGGCCATCGCTCCCTTCCTGGCCGACGTCGACACGAGTCGGGGCAGAGGCCGGGTGCTGTTCCGCGAGGACACCTCGCCGGAGGTGCTGCGCCGGGCTGCCCGCTACGTGCGAGCCGGCTTCCCGCGCTCAGCCGCTAGCTTCGCCCCCACCCACGCCTTCCTGGCCACCTGGGAGCGTGTCGGCGCCTATGAGGAGGTCAGGCGAGGGGCGCAGCCCTCCGGGGAGGTAAGTGACAGAGGGACCTGACACGTGGGCTTGGGAGTCCCTTCTGAGTCTGCTCTTGTGCTGAACTTTTGCTGGCCCCAGAGCTGAAAGCCTTGGGAAGTGCGGGAGGTCGCTGACCCTGGGCATCTTCCGAGGCTCCGACAGGCCGGGCCCTCGCGCTAGCAAGAAAAACTGCTGGGGGAAATGAAGACCAGCGTGCATTTGCCAAAGGCCTGGGGAACACAGGGCAGTTTATTTTTAGACTCACCTGTATTATACAAGTATTTCTGATTATATGTCATTAAAAGAAGAATCAGAAAATACTTGAAATTTTAAAAAAGAACAACCACTCATTTCTCAACCACTGTTAAACATATTTGTGTGTAGGTTTTCCAGAGTTTTTATGCCTATCTATTGCCGTCTATTAACAATAACGAGTTCACATTGCCAGTACTGTAATATAGCTTGCTTTTTTTGAGTAGTATATCTTGAATATATTGCAATGGCAGTAAATTCATTTCCATGACCTTTATAATGACTGCGTGATATTCCAGCTGATTTACCACACATTACTCAGCCAGTGTTCCCAGTGGCCAGTAAGCTTATGTCCATGTTTTTACTATTATAAATAATGAAGCACTTTTTAAAAAAGTGAAATCTAAGCACATGTTCTTAGCTGACATCCCAGGAAGTGGAGTTGGTTCTGGGCCAGAGAGAATGTGCTTTTTTTTTTTTTGGTGCCGGGGATCAAACTTGGGTCCTTGTGCTTGTGCAGCAGGTGGCGAAACCACTGAGCTAAATCCCTGGCCTGAGAAGGTGCTTTTTGGAAGATCCTTTATAGCTTTTGCCAGATTGCACCCGGGTTCCAGTTTACATGATCTTTCGTTTACAGGAGACTGTCTGAGATGTGTTTTATAGTCTCTCTGCAGAAAGCAAAACGACTCAGGCTCCCAGTCTTTGGTTTTGGGCAGTAATGTTGAAAGTATTCCAAACGGACGTTGGGTGGGACCAAGGTAGTTTGGTAAATGGCAAACTGCCTCATTCTTGGAGTAGGTAAAAACTTCCTTCTATGAAGTTAGCCTGGAATATAAAACCTCATGCATGCTCCAAAGGCTCTGAAACCATATTATTTAACTCATCATAGTGTTTCTTAGCTGTGGAAAGATAGCACATATGAAGCCTGCCCATGGTCATTGACTAGTTCAAGATGGTAGCTACTCTTTTTTTTTGGTACTGGGGATCGAACTCAGGACCTTGTATTTGTGAGGCAGGCGCCCGAACCACTGAACTAAATCCCCGGCCCTAGTCACTCTTGTTCTGTGTTCTTAAAGTAAGAGCGCTGTGTCTAAAACCTGTACTAAGCAAAGAAGATCTAGAAATAAAAATCACTTGAATTTATGTAGCGTCAGTTCAAACAAACATGTTGAGCATCTTTGTGTGGGCACTGAACCAAGTAGGAGATTGGAGAGGATACAAAGACAAATAAGGCAAGACCCTACCATTATGTTTCATTCATTCATTCATTTTTGTTTATAAGTTCAAATAGAATTAAAATTTTAAAAAATTTAAAAAAAATTAAATACCACATGCTGATAGTAGAAAACTTGGAAAACAAAACATAAGAAAGTAAACATTATAATTCTGCTAACTTGGAAGTCAGGAATCCTCATACTTCCTTATATATTCTTGCAATTATTTTTAAAAGCTGATATATGACATATTTTTTTTTTGGTACTGGGGATCAAACTCGGGACCTTGCACTTTCGAGGCAGGCGCCGGAACCACTGAGCTAAATCCCTGGCCCTGGGTTTTGTTTTAAAGAGAGCTCTTTTTGATTATATTGAGGAGGTCAGGGGACAAAGAACAGAATGACTACTTTAGATAATTATTAAATGTTGTTTATTCAAGCTATCTTGTTAAATTCTTGCATCAATATTTTATGCTACTATCATCCCATCACAATCCTACCAGATAAGTACACGAATCACTGTTGCATTTCACAGATAATAGCAAATAGAAGACAAAGTGATTATCCCAAATTCTGCTCTCAGTGAGGAATAGACAAATTCAAAATACAAGTTTCTTGTATTTTGGCAGGCGACAACACCACTGAGCTAAATCCCTGGCCAAGATTCTTTTTTATTCTGACTTATTTGGGGGCAACAAAGATAGGATGGGAAAGATTTTTCTTTCTTTAACTTTTCTAATCAAAATCACTCTTCAATATTGCGCTATGCTGAATTGGCTTGCGAATATTTTCACTTGGAAAGGAGATGAGGATCCTGTTTGGACAGAGGATGTGTTTTCAATTGCCCACGTTGCAAGTTCTTCTAAATACTTTAAGGAGCTGTGGGACTCGAGTTCTTGCTGTAATAGTTTTTTGGAGGACAGATTTTGGCAAACATAACCTATTTTGCTTGAAGGATTGTGTGAGTTTTACATGGCTTTTTAAAATCTTGGCACACTAATCTTATACTTCGAAGTTACTGGAAACTTGAAGCTATCAGAAGGAGGGCGTCTTTACCATTTGAAGGAGTTTCAGTTGGTGCCCCTTCTCTCCAGGGATAGTCACACCGGGTATGACAGGACATCATGCCCAACACCACAGGAATGTGAAGGTGTGATTGCACTGGGAAAAATGTGCACAAATAGTGTTTATCAGCTGAGTTAATCTGAGACTTCTTGAGCTGTCAGAGGCAATTCATGGAGCAAGAGTTGTGGTGTTGACCTCAAAGAACTTATTCACATGAAGACTAGTGTGTACTTTAGCTGTGGGTTTTTGTTGTGTGTGTGTTTTTGTTTACTTTCAGGGGAGGAGTAGTGTGATGGCAATGCCATTCAAGGATTGAGGTTATGGGGAACTGCATTACACAGATTTGTGTAGCGTGTGGAATGTTTTTCACTTTTTTTTTTTTTTGGTACCAGGGATCGAACTTGGGACCTTGCGCTTTCGCGGCAGGCGCCGGAACCACTGAGCTAAATCCCTGGCCCTTGTGTGGAACGTTTTTGTTGACTTGGAATTTGAGTTGAGCTGAAAGGCCTGAAAGAATGGATATTGAGAATGAGGTAGGGGCCGGGGATTTAGCTCAGTGGTTCCAGCGCCTGCCTGGCAAGTGCAAGGTCCTGAGTTCAATCTCCAATACCAAAAGAAAAAAAAAGAAAAAATGAGAATGAGGTAGCACAGATTGTTCTGAGCTAGGGCAGGTCTGGAGGAGACCAGGAGGGGCTGAGGCTGGAGATGAGGGTGAAGGAGTCATGAGGCAGTGATGTCAGAGGTGAACGCAGGGTTGCTCAATGGAGGTCTCAGTGTGGGGGCTAGGGGCTTTTGACCTGTTGTCAAGCATGATAGCCATTGACCAAGAAAGTTGACCTTTGTTGGAGCATTTTGACTTCTGGATATGGGGTCCAGAAGAGGGAAGTCTATCACTTAACTGAAAGAGTTGAACCTGAGTCTGAGATACAGCTGTAAAGACTAGAAACAAATACGCAATTTTGCTTAAGACCAAGAGTCAGGAAGGACCGAATATTAGGGATGTGATAACATTGAGTGTTCTCTTTGAATTTTTGGCAAGTTCTCTAGGACACAGTAGAAAGATGAGTCGGTGTAGTCAGGATGCCTGTGATAGTTTCCTACAGTGGTGGGAGACAAAGGATTACAAGAAGGGACTGAAAATGCAGAAGGCCCAGTCGCTGGCCTTCTGACTCAAGAGAGCATATGGTCCTAGGGGAACAGCAGAAGGAGAACTTAGAGGTCCCTGGAGGAGTTACCACGCTTCTTAATTTCCGTTTTTGTTTTGCTAAACCTCAGGCCAACCCCTTGGGGACAGGGATGACAATATTCTGATTTTTTGTCCAGATGGCTGTAATTATTTAACAAATTGCAAAATTAGAAACTCTTAGAGGGATATGTTTTATATCTGTCAGCCCAGCTCTGTTGAGTGTCACATCAACACTGAGGGGTGATGCCCTGTATCAGCGTGGGGGAGGCAGATTCTTGCTTTCTGCTAGGGGTTCTGGCCTTTCTCTCTGATAACAGATGGCGGAAACCTTGAAGCTCACAACCCCTGGCCCGGCCTGCTCGGTGTGGCTCCTCTCTCCCTGGATGCCCCTTGCTCCTCCTCTCTGGGACCCTGGGGACACTGGGCACCAGTGACCCTTATGTAGGGCTTGGCAGCCCCTCTGAGGGTTTCCCTTCGGAGCCTGAGTGTGTGGGGCTCTAGCTGAGGGTTATATCTAGGAATGCCCGGACCTTTCCGGTTTGGAAGCCAGTCAAGGAGTCAGGAGGAGGAGCCCTCAGGCCTGCATGAAGTGGGCTCTTTAGCAGTGCAGTGTGGAATTTTGTAGAATTGACTGAGAACTTTGGCATGTGGATGGTTTTTAAAGAGCCAAACTCTTTTGGAGTGTCATTTGGGATCATAAATTCTGTTTAAAAGGAAGTTGTTTTCTTCCTCTGATATTGGCCTCTTTCAGTGGAAATAGGGAAATTAAACACTTGCCGCCTGTAATGAGTGCTTGTCTCAAGAGTGGCATTGAAAATAACCATTGAATACATTTTAATTGAAGTGAATTTTGGCTGACTAATGGAAAGAATGAATAAAGTGCTAACTGCAGAGATTCCACAGTGAAAAGCCAGACTCTCCCCTTCACAGGTCTGGTTACTTCTCCCAATATCCTCCACATTCCCTTCAGTTCTTCACAGTCTATACAACCACTTTATCTTAAGTTCTCTAGACTTAGAACCAGGATTTCCCCCTGTCTTTTACTGATTGTGGGTGATTCAGGCCAGGAGCTTTAAAGTTTAGCAGTTTAAAATTAAATTCTTTCTCTTTCCTTGGTGACTTTTCTTTTCTTTTCTTTGTTTTGATACTGTGGATCAAACTCATGACCTTGACTTTTCGAGGCAGGCGTGGTGCCACTGAGCTAAATACCCGGGCCCTGGTGACTTTTCTTTCCTTAGTTGAACGTTCTTTATTCTGGTCCATATAAAACTCTGAAATGATTGAGTCCACCCTCATGGGTGCTAAAGGATATATTATGGTGTAGACGCAGTGGGAGAAACAACCTTTGTTTACATTTGGCAGAAGCTAAGGCTTCCTAGCTGTGAGATTCTAGAAAACACTCCTTGCCTTTGTTTTTGGAAAAGTCAAGTTTTGCTGATGAAACAATCAACAAATTCAGCAATAACAACTACACCAAGACTCCTGTCTATTAGTTTGTAAACTGAGTGAAAGAAAAAAGCAAAGCAAAATGACTTTTTCTGTTAGAGACTTTAGAATAATATTTGCTTTTTTCGTGAAAATGATAATACCTACATTTCTTTGCTGTATCTGCGACCCCAAAACTATACTTTAAAATTAAACATTGGGCTGGGGATTTAGCTCAGTGATTCTGCCACCTGCCTCGCAAGTGCAAGGTCCCGAGTTCGTTGAAAGCAAATAATAATAATAATAATAATAAGAAGAAGAAGAAGAAGAAGATTAAGAACATTAGGAAAGAGAACAACATGGGGAAGGACCCAAGGCTATTTTATTTAGTTCGATGCGATGTTCATTTCTGTGCCTAATTTTGGCTGCCTAGCCAAAAAAGGAGCTAAGGATACTCATCAGTAAATGTTTCTAAGAGTCATGTTATTTATGAAATAAGTGATATTTTTAAAATGCCCTCCGGTTCAGTGTGATCTTGTGAGAGAGTTAGTGTAGAGTCCTAAATAAGCATCTTTTAAATATAATCAAGTACTGTTAACAGCTCTTTTGGAAGGGTGGGGAGAGTAATAGTAATAGGATGAAGGTAAAGGTTCAAAGTGTCTTATTGAAAATGGGAGAGTAAATTGGACATCAAAAAGCAATTCTGGGGCCGGGGATTTAGCTCAGTAGTTCCACCGCCTGCCTGGAAAGTGCAAGGTCCTGAGTTCGATCCCCGGTACCCCCCCCAAAAAAGCGATTCTGCCCTCACTTGGGTGTTGCGCTTTTGGCTGATTCAGGCCCCCGGCCTCTCTCTGAGTCTCTCTGGTCTGCTTTGGTTCCTGCAGTGTTTATCAACATTCCCAGGTACACTGCAATGCCTGCCCACCCTGCCCTGAGGTCTTGGGCACGCAGCCTCGTCTGTGGCTTTTACCACTGTCCCCAGTGACTCCCGTGAAATTCCAACCACGGCTGACTTCTTCCTCTAATAGAGGAACTGTCCTGGGCACAGTCGCTTTGTCTTTGCTCCTGTGTATTTCAGCACCAAGCACAACGCATAGGGCTCCTCGGGCAGCCGACTGTGCGGTGTCCCAATGGGAAGAGGATGGGATTTGCTATCGTAAAAACACTACCCAGCCAATGGGCCGAAATGACCCGGAAACACGCCCAAGGGTGTGATGGGGGTCAGAGAGCCAGGGATCCCGCGGGGACTCACAAGAAACCTCCAGGGGGCAGCGTTTGAGAAGCATCGGAGCTTGTGGTGCAGATGAGGACGCGGCAGAACTGAGCTGGGAGGGAGCTTGGGGCTGGATGAGCCCCGTGGGTGGGGTACAGGGTCAGGCTGCCCCGGGTGCAGGGCAGGGGGTGCAGAGCAGGGGCTCTGGCCGGCTGCAGTTACACTGGCTGCCCGGCCCTAGGCACACCTGCCAGCCCCCGCGTCTCCTTTCTCTTATTTGTACCGTGAGGAAGGCTCTGGGGCTGGAATGAAAGAGTAGGCTAGGCAGTGAGAGCAGTAAAGAGGCCTTTGGGTCAGCCAGTGCCCAACACAGTGCCTGCCCATGATGGGAACTTGATACAGATGAATGAGTCCCCCAGATCAGAGACCGCCAGCACCCAAACTAGGGCAGTGCCTGTAGTTAATTTTGCTGTGTACCTCCAGAAGGGGTCTAGATGAGAGAAGCGGGTGATCGAAATTGAGAGGCGATGCTTATACTAAATAATATCAATTATAAACTTATATTTGGAATTTGAAGAGGAAGTTCTAAAGGAGAGTATGCTTAAAACCAGCTTGGGAGTTGAGTACTCCTCAGCCATAAAGAAAGATAAATTTGAGTCACTTGTGAGAAAATGGATGGATCTTGAGATGATAATACAAAGTGAAATTAATCAGACATAGAGATTAAATATCACATGGTTTCTGTAATATGAGAAACCCCAAATATAAATAAAGAGCAAAAGAGCAGGGAGACTGCAGAGATGGGAAGGGAATCTGGAGGAGGGAGAGGGGAAAAGAAAGTTACAGTGATCGTGATATATCTGCATTACCAGTTCCACAAGGTTAATACTGTATAATTGCTAGACATACGCTGATACAAAACATATACTGATGCAAACATATACTGATACAAAAATAAAACCCATTTGGGGGAATCCTGAGAAGGGTGAAAATTCTTTGTACTTTGATGCTTTGCTTGTGTTGTTTTCTTGTGTTTGTCTGTTTGTTTAGAGGATGTTTCCAATCACTTTTTCACAGCTGAACACTTTCCAGGCAGTTTTAGCCTATGATGGGTCGGATACCTTCGCCCTTTTTCTCTATCCTGCTCGTGGGCTTCAGTTCTTCGGCACTCGCCCCAAAGAGTCTTATAACGTCCAGCTGCAGCTTCCAGCTCGGGTGGGCTTCTGCCGAGGGGAGGCTGAGGATGACATGAAGAGAGAAGGACCCTATTTCAGCCTGACCAGCACGGAACAGTCTGTGAAAAATCTCTACCAGTAAGTAACGTGGCACTTAAAAACCCTTCGCCAGTTGACTATAACCACCTTTAGTGGGCATGTGAACTCAATGGCCACAGACCATTTTGAACAATTTGGGTTATGACCAGAATTGTAGTTTTAACTTAAGAACAAAGTCTTGAGTTTCAACCTGAATACGAGCCGCTTGTGCTTCCAGATGGTCTCAGATACAGATTTAACCCTTAAAGAGTTCTGGAAGGAACATGACAGCATCCTTTCCTGTGTGGGGTTAACTGAGAGATCCTGGGCCAGTGTCTCTCTAAGGACCCTGAGATCTGCCTGTGTACAGGAGAGAGACTTTGAAGGCTGTGTAGAGGAGCTGAGCCTTCAGCTGACCAACTTGAGTTACAACCAGCCTTCGAGAATGAATTGAGTTCATAAGTCAAGGGTCTACTGTAGCTCATTGACTTCTAAGAAAGGCATCAGATGGAAACCAGGAGCTACATTGAACCCTCGGAGGAACAACTTCTCTGAGATATAAACAGTCCTTTATTTTTCCTGCCCTGTTGGGTTTGGGAAATAGAAATAGCTGTGTGTGTGTGTATGTGGGTGTGGGTGCAGAGCCATTGAGGCTTGATATGAAAAACATTCCTTTTGGAGCCACATAAAAATATCCAGTAACATAGCTGCCTAGCTGGAAGATTTTCGGGTTAATCATTTCACAGAAGGAGACACTTTGATTTTGTCTTTGGGGTAGATACTGTTAAAAATTAAATTAAGAGTAATCTAACAAAAAAATGAATACAACAGATTAGTAGCTGTTTAGAAATCTCAGGATTTCTTTGTGGCTTCGTTATCTGAGGTCATGCTGATGGTTTTCCATGGCGTGGCTGGAACTGGACCCAATCCTGCTGGAGCCATCGTAACCCTTAATGCATCATGTTCCGTTTGAACCAGAATGATATTTATTAACCACAGTGTTTTGGGGTTTTGGTCTTTGCTTTTATTTCTTTCCTGAGTACTGGTCCAGAGTATACTAGTTACTTCCTGGCTTTCCTAGCTGCTCCTCATTCGTGAAATCATTCTAGGTATAGGAACAGCTTACACTGTCTGCACACTGCACTGCCCACCAGACGGCAGAGCAGCCACAGATAGTTACTCAGAGCTGATACTGATCAGGGGCTTATTGTTTGCTAACCATTGTGCCAAACACTTCCAGCTGTCATCTTAATTAAAATTCACAAGAATCAAAGACGTTAAGTACCTCTGTTTTCTCAACTTTACAGACAAGCTCAAGGAAGTTATGTAAGTTGCCTGTGAGCGCAAAGTGGCCAAGCCACAGTCAAAGCACAGGTTCTGAGAGCTGAGCCACTTACGCCGAGTTCTTCTCTTCACAACGGGCGTCTCTAGGTTTTCATCTAGGCTGCCCTTGAATCCAGATTCTGGAGCAAACGAACGTAGCTCCATGCTCTCCCCGTCTCCTCTCTCCTCTCCACCGACCTCTTCCACTCAGGAGCTCACTGATTTTGTACTCCGCAGACATTACGAAGAGCTGACAGCTGGCCAAGCACTTGAAATTCACAGATTTTGAAGGCCTAGACTCTGCATACCAGCAAGTTGTAGTCTGATAGGGTAGACAGACAGTCAGCAAGCACAGAGCACTAGAGGAAGTGCTGACATCTAGCACGGCTGCAGGAAGCAGTGGGGGCCAAAGAGCCTGTGGGAAAAGAATTTTGTTCCTCCACCAGAGGCCTAAAAACTCCTAAGATACAACGGCCACACAAGTGTGCAACACACACATGCACACATACATGGCACTTTCACTGGTGCCCTCCAGCCCACTCTCATTTTTATATTTGATGCCTCTTAAAAATCTCTGAATTGGGCTGGGGATTTAGCTCAGTGGTTCCACTGCCTGCTCCACAAGCCCAAGGACCCGAGTTTGATCCCAGCACCAAAAAAAAAAGAATTAAAAAAAAAAAAAAATCTCTGAATTGCTTAAGGACAGTTGCTCAAGAGTAAGATATCGGGCCAAAAGATTTTTCTTTAAAGTGAAATTCATGTGTAATATGAAACAATGTACAGACAACATAGAATAATGTTAAATAAAAGTAAAATTACCCTTGATTACTATTTCAAGTGTAATCAGTGTTAACAGTCCTTCCAGAATCTCAGATACATGCAAAAACCTTTTAAAACCTGGTGGTTCTTGTGCATTTTCTCATTTATCACTGTTTTACAGGCATCTTTCAGTCAGATATCTGTCTGTATTAGCATTTTAAGGCCACAAGACATTGCATGGAATATGTTGTTGTATTATAAAGACAACTTATTGATGAATATTCAACTTTTTGTTGAATTAATGTGAGCCCTCCCAGTTCACTCCTAAATATTTTGATATGTATCTCTAAAGAGTAAACTTATTTCTGTACTCAATGGAATCTTTCTTTTCCTTAAACGCGTCTCATGTAAACTCAAAGTTCACACATTACATAATTCATAATGTTTGTCATACTTTCTTCTGCACATTTAAATATCAATACACACATTTGCATTGTTTGAAACTATACTTTTCTATCTCTGGGAAGAGAGGACAGCTGTGACTATGTAGGTATTGTGTGCAGGGCCTGTGCTGGGCATTTTATCTGGTTTTCTCAACTTTCCTAATGAACCAGGGAGGAGGGATGTTATCCTATTATATAGCTTAGTTTTCCCTTCTAGGAAATAAATTAAGTTCTTCCTATCACTGGTCTCCAAATGACCTTGGAGATTTTACAGTAATCTCAAATTGGTTACTTTCCCATCGTGCACAATGACAAAAGCCATGCTAGTGATTTATATTTCTTTAGAAGGTTATTTGATTGAACTTTCATTTGATGTTAATTATGTAGTCCCACTCTTTGAAGCTTTTCTAGTTTTCCAAGTTCAAGAAGAAACTTCATGGCTATTATCTAATGTGATAATAAACTCAGTATTCTCAGACCTCTACAATTTTCTCATGTCTTCTTTAGTTTTTCTTATTTGCCTGTCAAGGAACACCAACTTTAATTCTTGAAGACATACATTCTTGTGTACACACAGTATAATGCACACAGGATAACGGTTGCTTTGTCATCACATTGTTTTATATTTTATGTTAAGCATGAATTACACTAAAAAAATCCCTGTCCTTCATTTTGGTCTCAAATCTTATCTGCTATGAAAGGAGAAATGCTCCTCTTTCCCCAAATTAACTGCAGAGGCAGCAACAGCACACACACATGCGCACACACACACACACACACACACCCCAGGGTGGGTGTAGGGAAAGACAATTTCAGACTGAACTGAGAAATACTATTGTTCTAGAAGACATCCAGACAAATACCTACCCCAAAGAGCAAAGATCTCTTGTTCTCATAGAATTCAGTGAATTTGTAAATTATCTTATTAGTCATTCTCATTTCTCATTGCTGACTTTTGAGGAAATTCCACAGTGTGGGATAATTTGAGCCTACTGTTTTGTACAAACACCAGAAGAGTCTACAAACTGTTGTGTCCAAGCTAGTTAGGCCCTTCTCAGCTCAATTTTCTCTTATTTTTAAAATCTTATGTATGGTTGTCTTCTTCAGAATGTATGGCTGACTAAAATAACAGATTTTGGTGCTATTTGGCAGACTGAGTGGAGTCCTTGTTCTTCTCTAGTGAAGAAAATGAGTGTTTCCAGGAAGGGCTTCTACCTGTGACTCCTTTCATTTTGACTAAGTTGTGTTCTTCTTCCCCCCTTAACTTTGCTCTACATTTGCTCACATTTTTTAGACATTTATATATTTTAAAAATTTATTGACATCGATCCTCCATTCTCTGTGGATTAGTTAATAGTCAGGCCCTGTGAACAGGGAAATGTCTTTAACATTCTGTAGAATAGTGGCAGTTCAGCTGCCCATTCCAGCATCTTGGCTTTCTGACATAGGACACAGTGATGCAGACGTTTAGAACAGGGGCTTTGGTGCTAGCGCTGAATTGAATCCAGGCTCTGCCAGCGATTAGTTATGTGATTGCAAGGACAGTTAATCTCTCAGTAAAATTAGGCCTGACTGCTGCCCCTACCTTGCAGAGTACAGTGCAGAATGTCACACACTTGGCACAGAGGCTGGCTTGGGACCACAGCCTGTAGCACTCATTCCTGTCTAAGTGTCTGGTGGTGAGTTTTAAGCTAAAGTGTTCTGAGTGTCTTACAAATTTTCAGACAGTGTGGGAGGGGGATAAAATATTCTCACACTCCCTGTTTGTTTTCAAATAGATTTTTAGATAAAACATTTGGCTTTAGACTGTAGAGCAGATTTATAACTTGATGGTGTGGAATTCTCAACATAGCATGAAACAAAAGGTATTTTACATCAAAATTCCAGTATAATCCTTTCAGTTACCATGAAGTCTGCTTTTATGGTGTTTTATACCCGGGAAACCCCTTGATCTGAGCTTAATGGTCTTACTGTTTTAAGCTGAAGTGCTCACTTTGGGGGAAGGAGGGTGAGAGGATATTTTTGTTAGGATGAACTGTTTCCTTTCTGTTTAGGCTGAGCAACCTGGGGATCCCCGGAATGTGGGCCTTTCATATTGGGAGCAGCTCCCCGCTGGACAACTTTCAGCCAGCCACAGTTGGAAGAGATCTTCCCACAGCCCGCCCTTGGGCTCCCCGGGAGCATCCTGTCAGCCATGCTGAAGCCCTGGAAAGGGACTACACCGAGGACACATTGGATTATTATGACGAGAATGAGGAGGAGGTCGAATACCCGCCGAATGAACCAGGGGAGTCGTGGGATGGTCACAGCAGGGTGGACGTGTCCTTCCAGTTGAAAGCTGACTTGGGCCTGCGGGGAGGTGGGGTCCCTCCTCCAGATCCTGCCCTGGCCTCCCCTGTGCCACACCCAGCACCTAGTGACTGGCCGTACTACCCTGAAACAAAATCTGCCAACTTGGACCCTCCGACCCAAGAGGTGGCACCGCTGGGAGACTTTGAGAGCCCGGATGTAGAAGGCCACCTGCAGCCTTTGGGTCAGGCAGGGACCAGAAGCTCAGCCATCTCAGAGGTCGCTAGAGATTCCCTGGCTCCTTCCCAGGAGGGAAGTGTACCCCACCCTGGAGATAGACGCATCCAGCCCTACTCAAATGGAAGGCCCATGCCTTCCGGACCCAATGTTCCTGCAGCCCATGGCCAGGGAGAAGTTCTTCCTGATTACTGGGTGCCAGGCCACATTCCCCCCGTGAGCCAAGAGAGGCCGGTGGTCGGAGTGGAGGACGAGATCAGTTCCAACACTGAGGGTGAGTGTGTTAGAAACACTAGTGCTGACATTTCATTTTTAAAATGTTGGTTTTGGCTGGGTGTGGTGGTGCTCGCCTGTGATCCCAGCACTCTGGGAGGCTGAGACAGGAGGATCACAAGTTTGAGTTCATCCTGGGCAACTTAGCAAGACCCTATCTCAAAATGCAGTAAGGCGCAGGGATATCCGTAGCTCAGCACAAAGGCTCTGGGTTCAGTCCTTAGTACTGCAAAAAAAGAAAAACTTGGTTTTGTGTAGAGTTGTGATTTTTCTCTCAAGCGAATAGGTGAAAACTTGAGCAAGAAGATCGGAACTGATTTCCACTCCCTGTGTTTCAGGAGATAAATTTTCTTTGCCAAATAAATCCTGGCAGGTGGGTTCTGGTTGGAGCCTCTTGACCATTAATAACGTGTTTTAAAAAATTGGCCTCAGGAAGTGAGCAGGGAAGAGCAGACCGCTTGGCCAGCTCCGCTCTCGGGTGTAATGAAGAATTTCAGTTTGGAAGCGCAGCAGCAGAGATGAAGCGAGCTGGGTGCCCCGCGCTGCGGGGCCGGGTGCTTTTGTTATGAGAGGGGTCCTGTGGCACAGAGGAGCAGGCCACTGTCAGACCCCGATGGGGCAGCCCTGAGCTCCCCTCAGTTGGTTGGCGACTCACTGCCATGCATGGGCAGTGAGCCCTTGGGGAAGCAGGCAACGCCCACCTGTGCCTGGTTCAAGGCCATGCAGCTGTGGCATTCCCTTCCTGGAGCCTTGCTCTGCTGTCCTCACTCACTGAGCAGCTGGAATGGGAGGTGAGGGGATGTGCAGGGGAGGCAGGGCCTGGTCAGCCCGGACCCAGGTGCATCTGACCTTCTCTTCTGAGTGCACTCACGTGTCCCTCTCCTGGTCCAGGATGTCCAGATTCCAGTGGGAAGCTGACCACCAGCCCCTTTCATGTCCAGGGATGGCTGGCCTGACCTCTCCCAGGAGGAAGAGGCCTGAGGCTAAAGCTGGCTTCTGAACCACCACTTTATTCACCTTTTCTGTTTTCCATCCCCGTTGTGACAAAACCATGCTGCCCTAGCAAAGAGGGCCTTCTGGGTTTCTCTGCAGCATTGATCTGCAGGATTGTGCTTGGAGAGGTACTTATTTTCAAGGGGAAGAAAATGCTTTGTGACCAGGGTGGGTACTGTGTAATGATTGGAGGGAAAGCATTAGTGTCAGATTTAAATTTTAATCTTGGCTGCCTTGAGGGAACTCATGTAACCCCCAAGCCTCTGATTTCTCATAAATTAATTGGGAGGATTAAATGAGATGATGTATGTGAGGTTCTTAGTGTCTGTACTAGCTGGTTCCTAAAAATTGGTGGCTGCTTTTCCTAACTGTGGAAGATAGAAAACAGCAGGAATGGGCCGCGGATTTAGCTCAGTGGTTTCACCGCCTGCTGCGCAAGCGCAAGGACCTGAGTTCGATCCCCAGTACCAAAAAGAAAAAAGAAAACAGCGGGAATAGGTGGGGAATGGGTAGAGAATGAAGAATGGGCTTATTCAAGAATTTTGTTTTAATTGGCTCTAAGGAGCCACATTTCTGTAAAGCTGAAGATATGAGTTTTATAGAAAGGCTTCAGAACCTTTAGATCCTTCCGACAATCTTCAGAATTTCCACTCTGTGTTCTCTCCCTCTAAAGAGATTATTTATAAATCCAAATATCAAAGATTTCAACATAGGGATTCAGAGCTAAAAACGCATTCCTCAATGACCTTTCTTTCCTTTGTGAGCTGTGATTTCCTGCCCTGGAAAGAGCTTGGGAATATTAAAAAGCAGACCCATGAAGTCATGTGTTAAAGAGTTGGCTGTCTGCACTGCTTTGAACTGTGAGAGGTTGGGGTCTCAGTAGTAAGTGTGCGAGCAACACTGAGAGTAACATAGGCTATCGAGCACCCAAGGCAGCAGCTGTAGTCCTTGTAGCACATGAACTGTGCTACTTATCAACCACTGGATATGAATGTAGTTTACTGGCACCTTGAAAATGGGCAAATGCATGTGAAAAAGAGGAGTAATGCACTGAGACATTTAGGGGAAAAAAGACTAATTAGAAGCTTTTAAGTCTGGGACAAAAAAAAGGATTTTTTAAAAAGGAATTTAGGATGATGTATGAAACATGCAATTGGTATAAATACCTTTGCTTTTGGCAATGAGTTGTGTGTGGGAATTTTTTTCTCCCAGATAAAGCCTTGGAGCCCCAGAGGTGCATCAGGTAAAGGTGGGCTCCCTGGGAAGCAGGTGGGGTGTGTGGTAGAGGTCTACAGAACCTTGCCCACAGAGACCAGCCATGTGGCGTGTGCCAGGCCGATCCTACTGATGGAGCAGAAAGTGCCCAGGTTTGGGACTTGAGCTGGATTCCATCTCTGCTGCTTGGTTTCAGGCAGGACACATGCTCTGTTTGGCCTTTGTGTCCCTCACCTCTGAAATGGAGAAAATGCAGACCTCGTTCAGTTGTTATGAGAATTAATATTGGGCTTAAGTAGTCAGATTGCTAGCCCAAAAAATCAAGATTTAAAGGCCCAGAAAGTACTTCCCTCTTTTTATTTTAATTTTTTTCTCCTTAGGTCTTTCTTGTACAGACTCTTCTTTAAAATTCAGGAATCTAGATTCTTTTGAGGTTATGTCTATACCAGGCAAGAATCTCCCAGTCGCACCCAGGTTCTGGCCCCAAGTATATTACTTGCTTTGTTCTCTGTTCATAGAGCACAGAGCCAGCAATGCAGTGGGTAGAAGCAACCTTTGTCTAAGGTGTCGTGTTTTTCCAGGCAGCTCCAGCAATTTGTTGTTGAGTCAGAAAGTTGCCCAAGTACCGGCCATGTACTTTGCTCAGAATGAAGCACTGATGGAAGTTTTCACAAGCATTTGTTAAGTGGCCGCTGGTTGAGTGGGAACTTTGTATTAGAATGCATTATTCCATTAGTCCTTGGAATTCTCTCTGAGGTAGAGACTGTTACCTTCCTGTCCTGCAGAGGCAGAAACTAAAGGTTGAGAATCCATAGTGACTTACCTTGTAAGAGACAGAGCAAGCCTGCAGCAAAGCCAGGAAAGAAGGAGGTAGGTGCCCCAGGGAGGGCCTGAGGGGCAGTGCTGGCCATGTTGCTGTGGGCCAGAGGGCCTGGTGAGGGAGGAGGGCTTCACTCAGGGCTTGGAATTGGGTCTCCTCTGAGGTAAGAAAGGGGGAAAATGTGAAAACATTCTGAGCAGAGGAGAGACAAGAGGGAAGGAATGGGGCGGGGATGGGGAAGGAAAAGGAGAAGGAAGAGAGAGGTTGAACATGAGGAGTTGCCAGGGAGGGCTGAGCAGAACTCGGAAGGGAGAGGGGCACTTGGCTTTCACTGACCGTGGGTGTTCGCGCCCCATTGGACATCCTCCTCTTTGTACTCGTGTAGCAGTTGTGCTGGGAGAGCCTGCCCTGTGAGCGGGGACTTCCACAGTCCCCAGTCCCCTCCACTTCCAGCCTGGGGAGGGGCTGCAGGAGTGTGCCGTTTCCTGGCTGTCTACCCGGGATGAGTTTCCAGGCTCTGTCCCCAGTGCTGTCTTCCAGGCAGGAAAGCCCTGCCCTGGGGACACCCCTAGAGAGTTGAGAACGCAGATGGATGCCCCACTCCCGAGAAGACGCAGCACAGGGAGAGTCCTTGATAGGGTCCTCTTCCTTCCTCAGAGGTGGAGAGAGCCTGTGAGTGTACGACAGCTGATGGAAACTTCCACCCCAGGGTCTGGTCAGTTTGCTACCAGCATCACTAGGTACTGCATATATGAGATGTGATCAAAATATACAGTGAATGTTTTAAGTTTAAAACATTTATTACAGTAAAAGACACATCACCATTAATCCCCCTCCAAATACTCCTCCTCAATTCAAACACACTTCCCCGTCATACTTGCCACTTTCTGAAGCAGTTCTGGAAGTCCTCTTTCGAGTCTTTCTAAGGTGTGATCAAAGGTGTAGTGAATGCTGGGCCAGAGATTTAGCTCAGTAGTTTCACCGCCTGCTGCGCAAGCGCAAGGACCCGAGTTCGATCTCCGGTCCAAAAACAAAAAAGTACAGTGAATGCTGCTGTTGAGTGCCATCCAACAGAAAGGTCAGGCTTGGAAAAACATTACAGTGTGTCCTCATCCACCTTAGTCATCAGATCTGGCACCTTGTGACTTGTGGTTCTTCCCTAAAGTCAAAATGATCGTGAAAGGGAAACATTTTGAATTGATTTCAGGACATGGAGACAGTGCAACTAAAGAGCCTCATGAAAGAGGACTTCTGAGTTGCTCAGAAAGCGGTAAGAATGATGGAACAAGTGTGTTCAAAGTAAGAGAAAGTATCTGAGGGGGATCAACGGCAGTGCGTCTTCTACTGTAATTTCAAAAAATATTTACCAGATTTTTTTTTTTTTTTTGGTACCGGGGATTGAACTCGGGTCCTTGCGCTTGCGCAGCAGGCGGAGAAGTCACTGAACTAAATCCCCGGCCCTTTACCGTATTTTTTGATCAGATTTCACACATCAAAAACAAAAGCACCATGGGAGCTAGAAGGAGAAGCATGCTGCTGCTCTGGATTTATGAAGTGGGATGTGGTTTTCTATCTAGCCTATCATTCTGCTTGGTGGGAACACTTAGAAAAAGATCTGTCCTGCCGGTGAAAATGTTAGTTCTGTGTCTCAAAGTAGCCACAAAAGTTGTCAGAAGTAAAAGTCACTCCAGCCGCCATGAGGCAGTCGGATGGGAAGACCTCGGCCCTCCTGTGCTGGGGAACTTTGGCCACAGTGTGGAGCCTGCTCGACTTGTGGCCGGGCCAGAGCCCTCAGTGAGTAGCAGGCAGGCCAAGGACGGAGAACAAGTGATTAAGTGTTTCTGGAAAAATGAAGATTGAAGGATGGGTCAGAACAAGTGAAGAGGAGAGTTTTCTATTTTTGTTAAAAATCCCCAATTAGGACAAGTCTCAGGCACTTTGGCAGCACTTTTGCTTTTCTCTTCTGTATCCCC